AAGGTGCAGGTTGTGGTATAAGCAGGTTGTGGTGTAAGGTGCAGGCTGTGGTGTAAAGTGCAGGTTGTGGTGTAAGGTGCAGGTGAGGTGTAAGGTGCAGGTTGTGGTGTAAGGCAGGTTGTTGTGTAAGGTGCAGGATGTGGTGTAAGGTGCAGGTTGTGGTGTAAGGTGCAGGTTGTGGTGTAAGGTGCAGGTTGTGGTGTAAGGTGCAGGTTGTGGTGTAAGGCAGGTTGTGGTGTAAGGTGCAGGTTGTGGTGTAAGGTGCAGGTTGTGGTGTAAGGTGCAGGTTGTTGTGTAAGGTGCAGGTTGTGGTGTGCAGGTTGTTGAAGGTGCAGGATGTGGTGTAAGGTGCAGGTTGTGGTGTAAGGTGCAGGTTGTGGTGTAAGGTGCAGGTTGTGGTGTGAGGTGCAGGTTGTTGTGTAAGGTGCAGGTTGTGGTGTAAGGCAGGTTGTGGTGTAAGGTGCAGGTTGTTGTGTAAGGTGCAGGTTGTGGTGTAAGGCAGGTTGTTGTGTAAGGTGCAGGTTGTGGTGTAAGGTGCAGGTTGTTGTGTAAGGTGCAGGTTGTGGTGTAAGGTCAGGATGTGGTGTAAGGTGCAGGTTGTGGTGTAAGGTGCAGGTTGTGGTGTAAGGTGCAGGTTGTGGTGTAAGGTGCAGGTTGTGGTGTAAGGCAGGTTGTTGTGTAAGGCAGGTTGTGGTGTAAGTGCAGGTTGTGGTGTAAGGCAGGTTGTGTGTCAGGCTTGTGTAAGGCAGGCGTGGTGTAAGGTGCAGGTAGCAGGTTGTTGTGTAGTGCAGGTTGTTGTGTAGGTGCAGGTTGTTGTGTACGGTGCAGGTTGTGGTGTAAGGTGCAGGTTGTGGTGCAAGGTGCAGGTTGTGGTGCAGGTTGTGGTGTAGCCTTCAGGTGTGGTGTAAGGTGCAGGTTGTTGTGTAAGGTGCAGGTTGTGGTGTAAGGTGCAGGTTGTGTGTAAGGTGCAGGTGTGGTGCATGGCAGGTTGTGGTGTAAGGTGCAGGTTGTGGTGTAAGGTGCAGGGTGGTACGGTGCAGGTTGTGGTGAAGGTGCAGGTTGTTGTGTAAGGCAGGTTGTGGTGTAGCAGGTTGTGGTGTAAGGTGCAGGTTGTGTAAGGTGCAGGATGTGGGGTAGCGGTTGTGGTGTAAGGTGCAGGTTGTGTGCAGGTTGTTGTGTAAGGCAGGTTGTTGTGTAGGCAGGTTGTTGTGTAGCCTCGGTGTGGTGTAAGGTGCAGGTTGTTGTGCAAGGTGCAGGATGGTGTAGGTGCAGGTTGTGGTGTAAGGTGCAGGTTGTTGTGTAAGGTGTAGGTTGTTGTGTAGCCTTCAGGTGTGGTGTATGCAGGTTGTTGTGTAAGGCAGGTTGTTGTATAAGGTGCAGGTTGTGGTGTAAGGGCAGGTTGTTGTGTAAGGTGCAGGTTGTTGTGTAGCCTCAGGTGTGGTGTAAGGTGCAGGTTGTTGTGTAGCCTTCAGGTGTGGTGTAAGGTGCAGGTTGTTGTGTAAGGTGCAGGTTGGTGTAAAGTGCAGGTTGTGGTGTAAGGTGCAGATTGTGGTAAGATGCAGATTGTGGTGTAAGGTGCAGATTGTTGTGTAAGGTGCAGGTTGTGGTGTAAGGTGCAGGTTGTGGTGTAAGATGCAGGTTGTGGTAAGGTGCAGGTTGGTGGTGTAGTGCAGGGTGTAAGGTGCAGGTTGTGGTGTAAGATGCAGATTGTGGTGTAAGGTGCAGATTGTGGTGTAAGGTGCAGATTGTTGTGTAAGGTGCAGGTTGTGTGTGCAGGATGTGGTATAAGGTGCAGGTTTGGTGTAAGGTGCAGGTTGTGTGTAGTGCAGATTGTGGTGTAAAGTGCAGGTTGTGGTGTAAGGTGCAGGTTGTGGTGGCAGGTTGGTGAGTGCAGGTTGTGGTGTAAGGCAGGTTGTGGTGTAAAGTGCAGATTGTGGTGTAAAGTGCAGATTGTGGTGTAAAGTGCAGATTGTGGTGTAAAGTGCAGATTGTGGTGTAAAGTGCAGGTTGTGGTGTAAAGTGCAGGTTGTGGTGTAAGATGCAGGTTGTGGTGTAAGGTGCAGGTTGTGGTGTAAAGCGCAGGTTGTGGTATAAGGTGCAGGTTGTGGTATAAGGTGCAGGCCGAACGCCACACTTACACCTGAACTCAACTTGGTAATCCCATGCTTGTGGAGGTTGGTCAGGTGTGTAATTGGATGCTTTGACACCCCCGGTCAGGTGAAGTTTCTGGGGGAGGGGGTGAGATGGGGCAGGGGGGAGATGGGGGAGGGAGATGGGGGAGGGAGATGGAGGGGGGAGAGGAGGGGGGTTAGATGGGGCAGGGAACAAAAAAAAAAAACTCGCCTGAAGCTTCATCCTGAGGCACGGGCTGGGTATTACGTGCCACGGGGCCACCATTCTTCCCCTTCCATCCCTCCCCTCACACAAAGGACAGTTTCCGTTCCGTCTTTCTCTTCTATCCTGACATCCTCAACCCCACTCCCTGTCACTTAACCCCACCCCTGTTGTAATTAATCCCACTCCCCTGTTCTACTTAACCCCACTCCTGTTTTACTTAACCCCACTCCCTGTCTATTTAACCCCACTCCCTGTTTTACTTAACCCCACTCCCTGTTCTATTTAACCCACTCCGTTTTACTTAACCCCACCCCTGTTCTACTTAACCCCACTCCCTGTTTTACTTAACCCCACTCCCTGTTCTACTTAACCCCACTCCCTGTTCTACTTAACCCCACTCCCTGTTTTACTTAACCCCACTCCCTGTTCTACTTAACCCCACTCCCTGTTGTAATTAATCCCACTCCCTGTTCTACTCAACCACAGATACACACCCAGTTCCCTTCCCTTGCTCCGGCTACTGTCCGTCCTCTCCAGCCCACCCCACCCAGCCCAGCCTCACCAACCAACCCCGCCTCATCACCCCCGTACCATGCCTCACCCCAGACTAATGCCCCTCTACCCCACCCCGCACAACAAGCCATAAAAGGTCACAAACATGCCCCCTGACGGCTTATTTACACCCGGCAGACATTACACCCACGGTTCACTAGATCATACATGGACAAAACTATGACTTCGTGGAGTATAAGGAGGGAGTGGAGGGAGGGAGGAAAGGACGGAAAAGAAGGAGGGAGGAGGGACAAACAGCCAGGAAATGGGAGAGAGAGAGAGAGAGAGAGAGAGAGAGAGAGAGAGTCAAGACAAAGCAGAGAACGTTGGTGAGGTGGCAGCAAACGTGACTCCGGATCCCAAGGTCAAGCAATGTTATGATCCAGCTCTGCCTGCCACTATCCTCACCCCCCCCACCACCACCCAACCTTCTACCAACCCCCTAACACCCCCGCCTGACCACAGAGGAGACGCCAGGGTAACCCACACCTCATTGTTCATAGTTAGGATGGGGGGCACAGGGCCAAGATCTCACCGGAAGAGAAATACCACCAGAGATTTTCCTGGATAGTGTGTGTGTGTGTGTGTGTGTGTGTGTGTGTGTGTGTGTGTGTGTCCTTCAACCCTGTACTGGGAGGTGACTCAAGAGGGCCTCATCCTCCTCCTGCTGGTGCTGCCCTCTGCTCTACCACGATCACCAGAGTAATGAGGCGCGTCATTAGAGAGGTCTGGAGGTGGTGAGGTGAGAGGAGGGAATGGGGGTGAGGGAAGGGGGTGAGGGGTTGGGGGGCGTCATTCACTAGTTATAGCCCAGAGGCGAGTCCGTCTGACCGTCCTTTGTGTTCAATTAACGGTAGTGACCTGAAGGACTCTCTGACAAGGCTAATAATATCCTACGACCACTATCACCACGACCACTAACCCTACCACTACAGCTAACCCTACCACTACAGCTAACCCTACCACTACTACCACGCCCTTCCAGATCAAGGACACTCGTAGGCCTACCACCACACTCAGTCCCTAGCGATGGTTACTGTACACTGAGTGCTGTTAATATTACCTTTTGGCTGACACACAGGAACTTTATGATGGAGGATGGGAGATGATAGGATTGTGAGGGGGGAAGGGGGGTGAAGGAAGGTAGAATATAGGGATGGAAAGGGGTAGAATGAAGGGAAGGGGGAGGTAGAATAGAGGTAGGTAGAAGGAAGGGATAGGAAATGAAGGGTCGAGAGAGGTAGAGGAAAAGTGCCATAAACTGATGACTTAAGGAGCCCCAAGCAGAACTTCCCTGTGTTAGTATCTACAGTAACCATTGAAGCTGAACTGATGGACGTGTTGTACCAGGGGTCAATATTTGCTATACTGAGTACCCCTGACCACTCCTCCCCCTGTCATTGTACCTGTGTGTGTGTGGTTCATCGAATATAAATTACTGTTGTTATTGTTCTGAGACCCACGCATGCGCACCAACTCAAACTTGTTGGTAAGTCAAGCTGTATGTACATTGATAAACACTAATACAAGGTTGATATTCTTAGACATTTCTACCTTAAATTTCCTCCCTTAAGTGCAATTTCGATGTGATTTTGTGGTCTGTAATTTTGGTGAGTTATTTAGTGTAGATGCGTGATCATATCTCCAGTTGAGGGAGTATCTTTACCATAGGTGCCTTTAGGAACCCCGAGAGGAGGGTGAGGGTGCGTGTGTGACGACCTGCCGCCCCCAGCGACACAGTAATTAATACCTGTGATTAATGAAGACAGAGGTGGCCAGGTACGAAGGCAGGCAACAAACTGGTTATGCTCCGCCAAACCGCCAATTACAACCTGGGTTATGAATAGTGAGTGAGAGTGAAGACGCCTACGTGGTCCTTCTCGTCCATTTGTGGCGACGGGTCTTTATATGATGGTAAAACAGGTTGAGAACTCTGCAGCCTCAGATGTAAACAACTTATCCTAAGTTAATAAGCTGACGGCAACACACACAGATACACAGCGAGATAAACTGATAGATGGAAGAACACGGCTAGAATATAAAATGATTGATAAAATAGTTAGTGTCAACAAGGAACTGATACTGTACTGTATTAATATAATACAACTTACACTTGAGCAGTGAGCGCCAGCTGCCGCCGAAGGTGCGCATGTTAGGCCGTCTGATGCCTCCACTCCCTATAATGTTGGCGCCGCTGCTGCAGGTGGAGGCGGCGCTGCGGGAGGAGGCAGTAGAAGACGCCGAGGAGGAGGAGGAGGAGGAGGAGTGTGGGGAGGGGCTGCAGTGGGCGCTGCAGGGGAGGCGCGACGGGTGGAAGCAGAAAATTCGCAAGTCCTCGGCTGAAGTTGCGGCAGAGTGGAGGTCAGTGAAGGAGAGGGAACGACCCCCAGCACTGTAGATGGACGACTTCCCCAGGGATGATCTGTCCAGAGACGCCCTCCCCATGGTGGACCTCCCCAGGGCCACCGAGATGTCCAGATCTTCTTCCTCCATATACTCCTCTTCGTCCTCAGGACGCATGAGGGGCGCGGCCAAGGAGGCTCTCAGCTCTGCCACCAGGGCGGCTGCCTCCTCCCCCGCCGCCCACATCAGCGACTCATCACTCCGGGCGCGGCTCAGGTCTAAATAGGAGTAGGTTGGTCCCGTGTCTGCGAAACTCTGGTAGGTGGAGGAAAGTTCCCTCTGCTTCCCCGCCCGCGTCACCATCTTGAAGGTGGACGTGTGGGGAGGGTGGGGAAGGGGGAGGTGTGGGAGCTCGGGCAGGGCGGTGGTGGGTGGGGACGTTACCCCTGGATACCGGGGTTACAAGACTTGGGCCTCGAATTATCCATTTCTTCTTTACATCCTAGTCTCTTATTCTATCTATCACACTTATCATCAACTAGCTCCACCCATTGTTGTATTTCACACTCAGGTAGTTGACAATTCAGACACTTCCCTCGTGATTGTCTCTTATGATGCCACTAACCATAGTGACAATGTACACTCCATCACTTTACGTACGGTACTCAAAAATAGTCGAGATATATTTAACAACTGTTTCTCTTCACCTAAAACAACACACACATTAAAATTCAATATTTTACAGCGAAGAAAAAATTACATAATCGAGGCAGAATATGGCGGGTGTGGAGCAAGGAGCGGCCAATGGCAGGAGGAGACGGACCCAACAATTAATCATATACAACACTGGTAAAGATTATCTAGCGAGGAGCAACACAGAAAATGGGAATAGCCAGCCCACTGTACTGTACCTCGCTACTCTGAACTACAAATATAATAACGGAGCAAAGAACAAACCAATACAAAGAACACAAGATTGAAATGTCCTTGGCGGAGTGAAGACAGACCTAAGTTGTCACCATCACCAGAATCTCACCATTAATCTAAAACACTATCAGGTACCGGTATATATTTTCACCATCAAAACACTACATATTTCTACACCCCATAACACTATATTTCTCATCACTAGACTCACTATTAGCCTAAAGACACTCTTATATTATCACCATCAACAACACGACTCCTTCAACACAACAGCGTTTCATCAGAACAGTTACGACCCTCCCCAGTACCCCCCGCCCCCTCTCTCAGTTCAGAAAGACACTCACGACTCCCTCATCCTGGGTCTAATGAGACAATCAACAATTAATACAAGCACACAAGGGCCAAGACAACAACTCGACAACACTAGAAATTCAACCTTATCTATTCCCCCGTAACGTTGGTTTATGCCACTGTCTTCCTTCCCAGGAACCCCCATGCACCCACCATCACCCCCAGCAGGGAGGAGAGGTGTCTCAACTTTCATGGGGGCAGTTCATCAGTCCCCCCCCCCCCAACCTTCTGCTGTCAATTCCCCCAAGGCATCCATTGTCACGGTCACACGCCAATCTAAAATCTACCGAACAGGTATTTAAGAGGTTTCGAAACTATATTAAAACCCTCTCTTGCTTATTTTTCACACAAATGAGTCTTAAAACCTATTATGTGTCATCAAAGACCTTCTAAGACCAAGGTTGTACTGTCAGAAGAAAATAAATGAGTGTTTTCTCTTAGTTCTGGCAACCGTGCAGTCCATTGGGGGATGGTGGGCTTGCAAGAGTGTCAACTGATCCCTCGACTGTATCGTATCTGCCACCATCACCTATCTTAATATCTCATATAACTAATCCTTGTGCTGTGTTGATGACAATATTATTTTGATTTCGTTTTGCTATAACGAGATTAGTAATACAGGGTGTCCATAAATGATTACCCTGATTAAACATGAGAGCATATTGTTTTTTATGGTAATCATTTATGGATATCCTGTATTTTATAACATACTGACAAATAATTTTACCTAATTACGATAATAAACACAAATCAATAAATGAATGTAAATAATTAATAAATAATCCCAATCAGGTAAATATGTATACAGTACACGCATCCTTGTTGGTGAAGGTCCCATATAAACGATTATATTACAACAGAACAAAGACTCAAATATCAACATCCAACACGACACAACCAACCGATCAAGTGGTGACACACACAGACCCTCGGAGTCGATAAAGGGAACAATAACGGCAGCCTTAACAGTACTGGGTTCAAATTCTCAAAATGATTCACATGACGGCTGTACCTCGTAAAGTGAAGATGAAAAAAATACTTAACTGGTTGATTTAAACTCGAGAACATAAAAATAATGTTGAAAAAAATAAAACATTAACATTACACTATGAAATAACCGTAACTAGACACGTACGCCTGAAGTAATAGAACAAAATTGGTATAGGCTACAAAACATTCTCCACTGTACGATAATTTTTCCCGAGGGACTACGTGACCATATTCATTTAAGACAGTTATGAGTGTAATTTCAACGCCACTTTGAACCTTTTTTATTAACCAGTTAAGTGTCTTTTTTTTACATATTACATTTATTATATTTACGAAGTAATATTGATCGTAGAAACTTCTGGAAATTGGACCCCACACCCCCAGCTGACGCACAAGTCGACGAGGCTGCAAGTGGCCATAAGCGAACACCTGCCACTGTGATGCGTTCTGCAAGGCTTGTATAACCAGACCAACTATTGTGTATATACTGTATTAGGTTTAGGTGTTGTAAGACTGGTGAGGGAAGGGGAGAGGCAAGAAATAGAGTGGGGGATGGGAGAGATGAAACAGGGAGAGATATAAGAAATTAATGGATATATATGAAAGGGGAGAGAATCATCACGAGGACAGTATTTGTGCATCACCAAAACACTAGTGGTGGGGCAGTGTATATATAAATGAATCACCGCGCGTCGTGACACTGCATCAGTCCACTTGTTACGCCGTTACTGTTGTTCCCCTCCCTCCCTCCCTTGATTAAGTCGAGTTAGCTGGTGATAATTAAAACCTCCTCAGGCTCCACACAACTCGTTCACCAACTCCCAAGGTCAACAAATCGTTACTTACACAACACTAAATTCTAATAATATTACTAATCATTTGTTTATCAGGTTTCTAGCACTGTATAGTTAAATAAGTCCTATGAGTAACTAACCTAACCGAATTATTTTAGTAATTTATACGCGTAAAAAAATTAACAACTCCCAAGGCTATTGTCATCGAAAATCACTCTTGCCGTACACTGCTGTCCAACAAACATGAAAATACAATAATTATTAATTATTTAAGATGTAATATATGATGAGGCCCCAAATTATAAAGATTAATTAATTACAGACACTCCCACAAGTACTGAAATATGACTCATGGGGCGAAAACTCCACACTCGCTCACCCACACCCGAGACAGGATACGTTATAAAACTGGGCCCCGGTCTTAAGCCACGATAAACACTCTCCCTCACGCTTAACCAACCAAGAAAAGCCACTAGAGCATTAATGGATAAAACCGGGTGGATATTTTTAGCGTCTCATCACGGAAAATGTAAATGTTGACACCGTAACCCAACCGACCAGCTACACTAGACACATCACCATCAATCAATGCACAGATAGGCGTCAAACAACGACCAAATTGACGTGTGTTGTAAAATCGGAAAGAGATGCCTTCATGTACACTACACAATTAATAAAATATGAGAAGTAATGCGGTGATTTTTGTTGGGTTAAGATCAGCTGAGACGGGTGTGGGGGGGGAGGGGGTAGCTCTCTCTCTCTCTCTCTCTCTCTCTCTCTCTCTCTCTCTCTCTCTCTCTCTCTCGTGTGTGTGTGTGTGATGGACATGGGGTTTGTTGATGTTACGGTGTGGTGGGGGTAGCAAAGCCAGCAGACAGGGTGGTGGATAAAACACTTCTACTTACACCCTGTTCCTTACTACTTAATGTACTTATTTGTTCAAATCTCCATCCATCACACTGACAATAATTGGTACTAAATCAAGCGAGTGAATAAATAAGGAGGGGGGGGGGAGTTGGGTCGTCGTCCAGAATAGAGCCTAGCCAAATGCCTCTATTCAGGGCTAGGTAATTGTAGACTTTACATATATACCTGTCCAATACTTACCCAGGTTGATATTCAGAATTTATAGGCTACGAAAACTGACCACTTTACCACACGTTGGAAAATTAACGGATATTAGAGAAATGAAGTGAAAATACAGACGGATCTATTAGTAAATTACTATCTGAACTAGTTACTATTTATACTTGTCCTGTGGTAATTATATATTTATTTTGCTAGGAGTAAGTTTATTTTGACTTAATTTTCAATGTAAATTAAAAAAAAATCAATAATGTAAAAAAAATATCCTTCAAACTTTACAATGAGTTTATAGTCTCCCTTGGAGTTTACATGTCGGTAAACACTCCAAAAATTACCTACAACTGACTGTATTCTTCACTATGTCAGCTGTAACTTAAAAACCTACGAGTGAAAGTTAACAACAGCGACGAGTTTTTTTTTTAAAGTTCCTATTGCAAGTTTCAGTTACAGAGAGGAATACAGTTGTGTGCCGAGAAATGACACACACACACACACACACACACACACACACACACACACACACACACACACACAGAGCACAGCTGTTATGTATTCAGTCGTGTTTACAATATGAATAGTACAAAATGAAGAACAAGAAGAGACCCGCGGTGCTTAATAAACCAGTTGGTAAATATGACCTTTGACCCAACAGCTGTGACCTAAGATATAGCCTAACCTTTGACAAACTAGAGTCGAGTGTTAGATATTCCAAGTAGTGATGATATTCAGACCAAAATTTCACTAAAAATATCACCATATGGTCTAAAAAAAGACAATTACAGACTTCCAAACGAATATACCCCCACGCATTGTTTTTATATCACGTATAAAAATATAAACTGGCAACCGAGACCTTCAGTTGTCTGTTTTCATTTCCCTGTGTTTAATTTTTTTACATAAATTACGTAGTTTTTATCGTATGAAGTTTAATAAGCATATCAGTAATGTTTTTTTTTTTGTAGAGGGTCAGAATTTTAAAACCTTCGTGTATAATGAATTAGACCAGAGTATGTAATCACCCTTTAAATAACTATCAGGTCCATTTTTCAATCACTTTATTTACGCGAGGTCCACTAAAACACCCATGAGAAAACCTCCATATACCGTACACAACTTCCAATTGAATACCGGAAAAAAAAATCAAAATATTCTATTCCTTTCACAAACTTTCACTCTAGCCTTACAAATTTCAAGGTCCAACTCCACCCATTATGATACATTACCGTCTGAGGACCAGCTCTCACTCCTTGCCACCTCATTTGTCCCTCATAAAAGTTGACAGAAACCCCGTCGCCTCGCCTTGCCCTTCCCTAATAACAAACACCTCGACGCAGCCCATAGCCATTACGACGACAACTAGGACCAACCGACCCTTAACTACACCTCAATCACACAGCCTATTATCCTTTCGTGGCTGTTATGTGGTGAGTGGGGGGAGGGGTTGGGGTGAGTGGGGAGGGTTGGTTGAATGGGGGGAGGTTGGGGAGGGGGAGGGTTGGGTGAGTGGGGGGTTGAGTGGGGTGAAGAGAGAGGGGTGGGTGAGTGGGTGACAGGGGTGG